ATATGCATACAATGAAAAATCATAAGACTCTATTCAAGAGCGCTTGGATGAGATGACTTGGGTCTCTTCCAGTTTAACCAGTGAACTTGTGTTCGAGCTCTGGAAATGCAGCAGTGTTAAAACTCTTGAGGGAGAGCTTTGCCGCCCTTGTGGTCCTACCCGGCTCGATTCTGGATTAGTCGGTTCCCCTGTGGATCTGAAAACCGGAAGGTCCCTGTACCAAAAAAAAAAAATCATAAGGCTCTTAGTAATAGTGGTATAGGGAATAGTAATTCCTTTCAAGAAAATAATTGCCTAGCAAGTTAGGGTTGAGTTCAATTGAGAATGGTGCTAACTAAAGAAATAAAAATAAATTGTCGTTATTGCATCGAATGATTCAATGGCTATAAAAATCAAAATTATACATTCATTAAAGGTAATGTAGTAATTTTTAAACACATCCCACAACTTCTCACATGTGGGCCCACCTGACACCTCACCATTATCTCTCTCCTGTTTTAACTCTCACTCTCTCTCTCTCTCTCTCTCTCTCACACACACACACACACATTCAAACTAGGCGCACGCGCGCACACACACACAGAGGCCAATCGCCATCGCCAACTGTTACATAACTTGAGTGTTGGAGGGTCTTGCGCCGGAGTACTTTCGGCGCTCTTTCAGGTACCGGCAACACATTCGAGCTTGGATGAAACCGAGTTAAGCGCGTCTACGTCATAACCGAGAAGAATCCTCTGAAAGACCGAAGTTGTTCATCTCGGATCGTATCACCGACGACCACTGGAATCGGCCCGACTGCCGTCACAGTCCTCGCGCCACCAGTCGCTATTGTCCGACCAACAAAAATGGCCCGACTGTCTCCGCAGTCCTCGCGCACATAAGTCATGGGCTCGAGTTCAAGGAGGTAAAGTAGCAACACTAAAGATTTTTTTTTTTAAGAAAGAAAGGAAAATAATATTTTTTGCTCGATTTACTTTATATTCTGGCTCTGCCCGTACTTATTTTATTTTTTTTTAATGTCCATTAATCTCAAATTAGGGAATTACTATTGTCTCGTTGATGGAACGTTAGTATTTGTTACGTAGATACTACCGCATAATCTACATGTATATCCATGATTCCGATTCTGTCAGTGTTTGTTACGTAAAATATCTATATTACATAGACTACGTATGTATCCAACGACGAAAAGTAAATCATTTTGTAGCGGGACGGTAGTCATCGCTCAAATTATAATATATTCAAATAAAATAATTTATACTGAAAAATAAAAAGTATGTCAATGTTAAACCGACTCATAAAAAAGACGAACCTGATATATCAGTGCGTGTGTGTGTGTTGAAGGTCAACCGACCCTCCCTTTTTTCTGCTGTACACTTCTTTGGGATTTATGTATATGTGGGTTTCGAAGACTCCACACACAGTATTGCGGGTATATTATCTTTACTTTGTTTGGCCTTTTTCATTATTTTCCCTCTGTCTATCCTCGTCTTGTGTCATTGCACACAAGAAATATAAAACAAAAAATCATTTTGAAAATTTGAAGCTTTTTAACCCTCTCTCCTTGTCTCTATTTTGTTCTCTTCAGCTTTTTTTCTTGTAGGGCATGAAAATAAAATAAAAAAAGCTATCTTTTTGCAAGTCAAGCATGCAGATAGACATAGGGATAACAGAAAATCAAGAAAATGAAAAACCCATCTGCAAAATAGGGTTTTCTTGAGCCTTTTCAGCTGCTTTTTTTTTTTTTTT